TCAGCTATTTGCATGCTTAATTATGCATTTGCCTAATTTGCATATGTCAGCAATATGCAAATTAGGTAAAGGCATTAATTAAGCATGCGAAAGGCTGATTTTTTAGAACAAAATGAATAGTTAAAGGGCTTAAACTAAACCAAATTGTCTGAAACTTTGTACAGTAATTAAAAACCCGACAAAGTTTCCATCTATTAACTCAAAATATGATTACAGCTTTTAAATTTTGTGCGCGAGCCATTTTTAATTTGTCGGAAAAGACACCCCCCTGGTTTCACAAAATTTGAGTTCGAGAAATTTTTTTCATTATTCTACATTATAAGTACCCAAAGAAGCTATATATATAAAAACCGGATACAAATATGTGTTTTGCGAAATTGAGAGCAATTTCAAATCTGTTCAGTTTTTTTTTATACACCCTGTATAACAGATACTATCTGTTATAGTAGCTCCCGAAAAACGTTTGACAACAACATAATTGACAGTATTAGAAGGACGCCAACCGTGTAGGTTCTGTACAATTGAATCTCCTGCAACAACGAAGACATTTTTCGCCGAATAATTTGCATTGTCATTGTGTTTTTGGTACTTTATACTACAGAGTGTCTCAAAAAAAAGGCTAGCTTTGAAATTCAAATTAGTCATATTGTATTGAATTTATAATTACTGCTAATCAATTAGCGAGCCGTAAAACAAACGATTTTCTACTTATGGGACCGGTACGGACAACTCAATGAAATACCCTGTACAGTACTGTACAGGGTGTCCCAAAAAACCCCGAAAACTATTGAAATCACTTATTGTTAAATTTGAATGCCCTACCAAACAGCTAGACGTAATGATGCGTAAAATATTGACAAGGTGCATGTATTAGAATTTGGTTAGGAATATATCCTGGTATATCTGGTAAGGATAATACCGCGCTGAAGTTCGATTACCTTTTTTTTATACCCCCTGGACTTGCTCCAAGTCTATCTTTCATTGTCATAGAGTATCGATCCACTATAGTGTACATTACATGACGTAGCACTTAGAGGCGGAGCGAGAAAGAGAGACTTGTCAACTTCGGAAAATCTCGGTTCAAAACTGAACCGAAAATGCAAGACTTGCTTCAATTCTTTTCCTTCAATTTCTTTCTTTATCATTTACTATAATGGAACTCATGTTATTTACATGTGCTAGATCAATACATATAAACACTGACAGAAAACAATTAAAGCAAGTCTTGCATTGTCGGTTCAGTTTTGACAAGTCTCTCTTTCTCCCTCCGCCCCTCCGTACTACGTCATGTAATGTACACTATAGTGGACCGATACTATATGACAATGAAAGAGAGACTTGGAGCAAGTCTAACTGTAGTATGAGGGGGGCATTGGGGGGGGGGG